CAAGCTCGTTGCCAGATATACAGCTTTCTGTTGCTCTGTCCATCCATTCATTTCTGCCAGTAGCTCGAATTGTGCTCTATATGCTTCCCACGGTGCCTTCCCATCGAATTCCTGTGGCTTCCTTCGCACTGGATCACTCTTATTACTGACATTCATATCTGGGATGTGACTTCTTACGGGACTGAATATGTCTGCATTAGGGTTTAGCTGCGGGCTCTGTAAGGGGCTTGCCGTTGTCTGGGGCTGATTAAGTCGATGGTCAATGTATCCTCCTTGTGTAACACACAACAAATCGTTCTTTAACGTATCTAATTCGCTTTTAAATTTACTGATGTTTTGCATTTGTACCTCTTGCCATTGTTGTTGATTTTCCTGTAGTTGCTGCTGACTTTCTTCCTGTTTCCTTTCTTGTTCCAGTTGTCACTGCTGTTATCTCTCTTCTTGTTTATTTTCTTTTTCCTCCAACAACTGTTGTAATCTCTCTTGTTTATTTTGTTGTTCGAGCTGCCATTGTTGCAGGTTTTCTTGCAACTGCTGTTGTCTCTCTCCTTGTTTCTTTTCTTGTTTTTGTATTGCTGCCATCAAATCTGCTAAGCTGTAGTTTGATTTTCCGCCTCTCGTTTCCATCTTCTTCTCTTTTTTTTCTATCCCACTCTCTGACACCAGTTTGTTAGGTCTCAGTTTGTTAATTGATTTTTCTGTAACTTCGTTCCCACGAAACTTTTTACGACACAAGTCTTTACTTAATAAAACTGGTTTATTCTTTGCGAATATAACTTTACGATACACTTAATTTCAATATTCGCGCTAAAACAAACACTATAACGAACGAACGTTAACTTCAACAATACGTCTCTCTCTGACCGCAGTTCAATTACACATTACCTACACACACATTACATTACCCTGTCACGTTGTCACCCTCTTTTATATACCCGACTACCCTATATCTAGTAAATACTAGAGCATTCGCCAAAGTACAGGATAGTTCTAGAAACGTGGCGTCACAGTAGTCATGTGACTCGCTGACGCAACATAGTGTTTAATTTATGAAGGTAGCATTATTATGTAAGTATAGAACTCCTTTTCTACATTTGATTTCTGGTGTAAGACCTATTTCTACCCAATCAAACTAATGGAATGCTTGATGTTTATACATAGAATAGTTTTAGCAAAGTTTGTTATGGAAAAAGGAATTGAGCAATTTTGTAAATGTAATAATTTCCTCAATATTTAGGTTGCCTTATATATTTTTTATTAACATTACTGTTCAGGTTCATCAATTATAAAACCATACAAAAGTAATTAAACTATAGTTTTTTATGCTGAAAGCTAATGATTATTGGAAAATTTTATAAAATTTATGACCTAAAATACTACAAATCTATCCAACATTTTTGAAAGATCAATTATCTGATGTATGCCTAACTTCGAAGTTACCTAATGAGATGGAAAATATTTTATTAAATTGACTTATTTCTTTATAAGCTTGTGTTATTGCAGCTTATCTGGATAAAAACTTAGTTATGTCCAGTTGATGTATATAAAAAGGTTAATTTTTCATATGTTCATCATTATTCTGGTTCCAACCTGTAAATGTATTAGAATCTATGGCAGTTGTTATTAGTTAATGTTTTATGTGTTATGTCTAATAACATCAACTTTCTTAGCTGTTATAGTTGAGTGGCTAACACAAAATATCCAATTGATAATTTGCTGTGAAATTCAGTTTTATTGCTCAGAAAGTAAAGAACATAACTTTTTTTTTTTGGCGTTTGAGTCTTGCACCTAATTGTTGATCAGTTTCAGTCCAAATTATATTGAATTGGAGATCACTGTCATTTATTTGCTGACTTTCTGAACAACTGAATTGTTCAACTCTTGGCTCACCCTGCCAGACTCGTTATGCTCTTAAGCTATCTTCCCTTTCATTGCCAAGTTGAAATGACACAATACAGTACTCTTACTATCCTGCGATCCATTGGCAGATATTTAAATGGATTACTGCCTGAAATTTCTTTTGGGTAAGTGCATGCAATTTCATCTTGTACATGTATTTAATTAGACTGAAGGGCATATAAGTTAGAAAGGTTTTGGAGAGCATGATTAAAGATGCATTGCAGAGTCAATTAAAGCAGTTTGATATACTGTCAAAGAGCTAGTGTGGTTTCACTAAGAGAAAGTCTTGTTTAACAAACCTTCTGACATTATTTGAGGATGTTACTGCAAGAGTTGATGAAAGAAATAATGTGGATTTCATTTACCTTGATTTTCGGATAACGTTTGATCTGGCGTCTCACAAAAGACTTTTTACAAAAATTAAATCTGTGGGTGTGGGAGATATGTTGCTAAATTGGATAGAAAATTGGCTGGAGAGTAGAAAGCAGAGAGTAGTAATAAATGGAGTTAGAACTGACTGGATCACAGTTGCAAGCAGTATGCCTCAGGGCTCTGTGCTGGGTCCTCTGCTGTTTGTGATTTGTATTAATGATATTGGCTCTGGAATGACTAACAAAATTTTGAAGTTTGCAGATGACATTAAGATTTTTGGGATGGCTAACTGTATTAAAGATGCTGCAGACTTACAGGGAGATTTAGATCATTTGATGTATTGGGACAATACATGTCAGATGATGTATAACTATCCAAAATATAAGGTGATGCATGTAGGTTTTCACAATTCAAATTATTGTTACAATTTAAATGGGAATACATTAAATACTGTAGTTAAAGAAAAGATCTTGGTGCTGTGATCAAAAAATCACTTAAGCTATCTAAACAGTGTATTGCAGCTAGCAATAGGGCTAATAGGATTTTGGGTAGCATCTATAGAAATATTGAATACAAGACAAAGGATATTATTGTTTCACTGTATAGGTTCACTTGTGAAGCCTCATTTAGAGTACTGTGTACAGTTTTGAGCTCCCTTTCTCAAGAAGGACATTGAATTGTTGGAGAAGGTTCAGAGAAGAGTCACTAGGATGATACTTGGGATTGTCCTATGAGGAGAGACTAAAATTTCTAAACTTGTTTTTTCTGGAGAGAAGAAAGGTCAGAGGAGATTTGATTGAAGTGTTTAAGATTACTAAGGGTATTTATAATATAGATCCATCAAACTTTTTTGTGTTTAGCAGTAAAAACAATAGGACAAGGGGGAAGAAATTTGAAATTTGGCAGCATAGGAGTCGTCTGCAGTTTAGACAGTATTACTTTTCAAACAGGGTGGTTGGCTTTTGGATGGTGGAGGCAGAAATTTAACTGAATGCAAGAAAAGGTGGGATGAATACATGAGTAGTAAGGGGTTGTTATAGTTGGGAGTTGGAAGGGACATTCTTGATGGGCTAATAAGCTCCTTTTTTGTCCCTTTAAATTTTATGAAATTGGTTCTACAGTTGTCAGATACAGCATCTGAACATAAATTAGGGTTATAGTATATACCATACAAGATACTGACAAAAAAAAGACAATAAAGGCTTAGGATGAAAGTTAAGAATGATATATTGAATATCTGTAAATATTATATCATGTACAAAATGTGGTAGCATTGGATTAAATTTTAAAGGTAAAATAATGATTAAAATAGAATTTGATGTGATTATCTTCTCTTCTTTTTCAGTTTTTAGTAAATACCTATAAGAAACTGCCACAAATAATTCAGACATTTTGAACCAACTAACAGTCATGTAGTAAGCCTAATTTTATGTAATTGCAGTGATGGTACTACTCTGTATGTTGCTACAATGATAATACTCTGTTTAATTGCCATTGAACATTCCATAATTGTAATAACTTGGCATAAATAATCTTACTATTGAAATTTTTCTTATACAAGGTTACAAAACCTTAATTTAGCCTAACTCAGTCTTTTCTTTTTGAGATGTTCCACTTCATTAATGAATGTTAAAAATTTATCTCATTCTGTCTGCAGAGCTTTCTGAAAAAGAAGATAGTATTGGTGATCGACTGCTTATTACAATTCAACATTATTCCAGAAACTCCTGAACCACTTGGAGAGGGTTTACCTGTTTGGCAAAAAAATAAAAAGAACGAAAAAAAAATCGGGTGTGAGTGAATAGGACAATAGGAGGAACCCAGTTGAATTGGCTGAATACTTCCAGAAGGTGGGGGTGGGGCAATAAGATGAACTGGGATAGTATATGTGGTGTCATAAGAAAAGTTTAAAGATGAGTTGGGCTTAAAGAAGAATATATAAACAGGTAGATCTAATGCATCATGTCTTTAGGTGTAAAAGGGAATCTAATGCTTCCTTGGTCCCCTGAGCTGAATCTTTATTACGCATTTGCACCACTATATCATTATATATATATATACATGTATATGTCTTCTATCAAATGATTCATTTTAAAGAGTGAAGTCAGTATTTATCAGTAATGGGTATTCTTCTGAATAGTGTTCAAGAAATATGGGAATCATTTTGAGTGTTTGAGAATTGAAGAATAATTTTGGTTCATAGAAAAGGGCAAAAATTGGGAAGGAAAAGGAGAGGAAGAAATGAAAAAAATATATTGGAAAATAGGGAAAAAACTGTGTATTGGCTATTGGATTTTTCTGCAAAAGCTATGCCAATATGGTGCTATTGACAACCTGTCAGATACATTGAAAATGTATGGAAATCTTTAGGATCCTTAATTAAGAATACAGCAAAAATCTCAAGTTTTATCAGGCAGATCAGGACAGTCTCTTTCTCCATACAAAATTAGCATGTGGCATTTTAATGTTTTGAAATCAAATTAATAGGGTTTTATATATATCCTTTAATTTAATAACAAAATTTAATTTGTTTGGAATTTAAACTATTCTATTCCAAATTTAACTTTTATATATACTTTATACCTAACTTTTGGACAAGTTTGCTTTTAATATTCCCTTAATTTCTGTTTTAAGCATTAACAAATGTTGTTGACAATTTTTCAATATTAGAAAAAAAAAATAGTAATTTGAGAACAGAATTTTGGAACATATTTTATTTAATATTTCAGCCAAGTCAAAATTACACGTACTTGAAGAAGACATCCAAAACTTGAATATTAAATCTCCAAAGTATAAAGAAAGGCTACAAAAAGGTCTTCAGTACATTAGCAAGTGTCAGAACACTACAGAAGAGCAAAGGGAGCTCTTACAGTCAGTCAGTGTAAGCTTAAGGTCTGCCATCAAAGAAAATATTTTCCAGCTGACCACATGGATTTTACCTGTGAAGAAAGTGGAAACTATAGAAGTGTAAGAAACTACAATTTTTCCATAGTTGATATATTTGTTTTTAGTTAATTTGAAGTACCTGTTCTATATATAATGAATTGTGATACTTGCTGTTTTTTGTTGTTTGCAAAATATTCACATACTTGCATCAAAAAAATATTTTCAAGTTGGAGGTTTGTAATTTCCAAGATGGGGTATTCCTTGTACTTAATGGCACTTGAAAACAAAGGAATATGGAACAACTTAGAAAACCAGTTCCATCTAGAAAGAGACCTGCAACAATTTATACCCCAAATGTAAACAAAATGTAGCATTTTGTAACAGGTGAGAATCCAGGAATTAAAAGATAAGTGGCAAAAGCCATCATCATATCCCAGTCAATAATACACAACATAATCAAGAATTATATCCATCTGGAAGAGTGTGACAGGACATGTACAGAAGTTTCTTCCAAGACATATCCACTCAACCATCGTATATCTCAAGCAGTTAGAGAATGAAATAGGTATTCTTGCTATTCCATACAAAGACATACTGGTAAAATAACTTGTTGCAGAGTCTATAGATTTCTTTGCAATCATACTGATGAAATAGGAGCTGAGAAATTGTCATCCTCATACACTAGATAGAATATGGAAAGCCTTTGGACATGACAAGACAGAGCTTTTTGCAATGGAAACTATGCTGCAGTGCTTATTGTCAAGACATGGCATCAGATAGAGCATGACTGGATGTGATGACATGGAATAACCACATGGTGAGGCTCCAAAAATATTTTAACGTAATGTAATCAACCTTTGTATACTGAACATTCACTAACAACATATAAATACAAATACACTTTGTTTCCATTTTTGTACAAAATATAAACAAAGTACTATTAAAATGTGTATTTTGAAATGAAAAAAAAGATAAAATTCACTTTGATTGTATGATGATTAAATTATTGTTTATAACATCTCAACTTGAAGAGAGTTATTGTAGTCTGTAGAAACTATAGACCGAAAACCTGATGTCACATCTAAACATAATTGTACTAGCAATTCATAAAATCGTGAAAGATTAAGGAGTGTGAAGTTATATGAAGATTATCATTTCTTCCTGCTATGTCGATTAGAACATGATTAAATACTACAATTTTTAAAAGATCCATGTAAAACTGTCACCTACAAAGGCTTTCCCCTTTAAATAAATTTTGCTCTGCCTGTGTGCAAATTAAAATTATACAGAAAAATTCTTCACTCTTGGTACCAAAATCAGACAATTAAACAAAGATTTGTACATCCATTCTTATGAGATTAGTCCATTAATATTGGTGATTGCATATTCCTGCTAATATTTTGTTGTGGTATGCAATTAGGGAAATGTATTATTTAAGATTTTAAGTCTTTAGGGATTTGTTCATTTAGAAGTACATGTGTGTGATTATTTTCTATTTTTACCTTTTTTTCTGCAAAACCATTTACATAAAAATTGCATGAAGTGTGAGAATTTTAATATAAATGTGACCCCTATAGAACAGTATTCCAAATTTCAAGTCAATGAATGCCTCTAAATTTGCTTTTAATTACTTAGTATATTATTAAAAAATAACTGCTAAAAATGCAGTGTATATAAATAATCTTTCTCAACTAATATTCTCATATATATTTATTGAACATCTGATGCTTTGCCTTATTAAATCCAGCTATATAAATTACATACCATGAAATCTGTCTTCTGCCTACTTTATGGTAAACAAAAAAAAAGTGTGGCCTAGAGGCTAGAGTGTCAGTCTGCAGATTAGAAGGTCCAAAGTTCAAGCAGTGATTTGCTTCTGAGCACATTCAACACTTTCAGCTACAAGGTCATTATAACTAACAGTCAATCTCATTATTCAGTTAAAAGTAGCAATGAAAGCAACAGGTGCTACTGATTGGTTGCCCTTCCTCTAGTCAGAAGTTCTAAACTTGGGATAGCTATATCTGAACTTTGAAACCTTACACTCTGGCCACTTAATTTGTGTTTTGCATAAGGTGTTATTTAGTTGGAAAGTATCAAATACCATGTTTCAAAAAACATTCTTATTAATGGAACTTATACTTTGAGATATATTATAGTTTTTAGTTTGAAAAATACCTGAATAAAGTGTTATGAACATTTCAGTAGCAAAGAGGTGTGTTACACTACAGGACCATTAGCAGATCTAGCAGAAGCTCAACAGACAACTTATGTCAAGGGCAAGTGGGTTTACACTAACAGTATTTATGATCTTCAGTACCAGATAGTGGAGTCTTTTTTAAGTGGAAGTGGAAACTATTCAGCTTACTCTATTTGGGGTAATATTCAAAGTTCAAGATTTTATATAAGAGAACCTTGCTGAAGAACCTAATGCTGATTTTTAAAAAAATAACATACTAAAAACTACAATAAAATTTTATCAACTATCCTTTTGGTTTTAGCAAAAACAGTGTTATGAGGTATTTGTTTTTAACTAAATAGATTATTTGAACAGTGTTTCCATAAGTGAATATTGATATGTACATTTGTGGAAATAGTTATGGAAACCCAAAATTGATACACGTCCAGGTTTCGATGTCACATACAAAGAATATAGTCAAATAGATGGTGAATTTATTAACTACAAAACAACATCACAGAAAAAATACAAATGTGAATGATTTTTACAATCTACTAGTATTTCATATCTCAGCCTTTGTTATGTGTAGAGCATCACACCTTTTTTCATACTGTCATACAGTTTATCAGTGTATGGTCGTGGAATGTTGTTCCAATATTAGTACTCCTCACAATACATACAAACTACTTGGCCACCTTTTGACCTTCTCAGTTTTTGAATGAACCCATACGGTCTCAAGAATGCTCATGTCCTGACTTTAAGCAGCTGAAGCGAAGTTGTGAGTGTTCTGTCTTTCTCTTTACCATACAGGACATTTGTTGTATGCTTGGGATCATTGTCTTGCTGGTAGATAAATCTCTTTGCCAATGAATTGTGTTTTTTTAAGGATCAGAAGCTATCTGTACTTAGCAGAAATCAGGGTGCCATCCATTTTGTACAGCTCGCTGATATTGTGGTTGAGATGCAACTCTAAAGTAATACTAATTGCTCATATTGCTTTACTTAGACATTGATTTTGAAATCATTCACTTCTTCACAGTTGAAAAACTGTTGTCGATTGTGCCAAACAAATCAAACTTGAATTCATACACATCTCCAACTTTGCTCATTCCAAAAATTTTCACTCTGTTTTTCTTTAAACAACAAGATAATATTGTTATTTCATTAAAGTTATATGTGTTTCACAACACTTTGTATCCTTCATCCAGTAAGTGTGGCTACAAATTTATTCCGTGATTTTTGAATACTGGGTGCTGACTGTGATAAATAAAATATACTTTCATTTACTGCAAGATATTTTATTTAAAGTGGGATCATAAAGCTTTTTCATGGCCAATATCTTTTTAAAATATTTTCTTGCATCAGATGAACCATATATGGGATAACTTTTCAACTCAAAAGGAAATAAGCTGTTTCAATTGAATAAATACACAGTTCATCCAGTGTAATCATTGGTATCCATCTGTCATCAGCCAAGATGATTTTCATAATTCATTCTGCTGGGAGAAGCTGATATACATACTTTTTTCTAGTTTTAAGTTTTTGTTGGTGATTTTTAATGGATAAAAATAGATTTATTTTTAAATAGAGATTTTCTTCAGTACAATCATACAGACTTTATTAATGTTAGCTATTATCACCGTCAGATATGGTGGGAGGGGGGTTTCAGTGGCATGACTCTGCAGACTGAGATTTTCTAACGTTTTTAGTTTTTACTGTTCTATTCAGATGTCAGCAATACTTTGGAAAAGTAACTTTCTATTGTGAAGAAGTACCCTCAGGATTAACCTTTCTCAGTAAAACCAGTAAATTCATTCTAAGTTTGGGCATGGGGATTAGGTGATGCTTGCTTTTTCAGCCATGGGGGTATTACAACATGACAATTAATCCCACTATTCATATAGAGTAGCCTTATTGATGAAAGTCAGTGGTGTTGACTAGCTGTCTTCCCTGTAGTCTATCATTGTTAAATTAGGGATGACTAGTGCAAATAGCCCTTGAGTATCTTTGCACAAAATTCAACAAAACAAACAGAATGTAAGCTATACATCACAAACTGAATCTGATAATTGAATTCAGATGGATGTGTCAATCTGTATTTAATTTATATGTTTAAAAATATTTTCATTCAAACCCCATTTTGCCTCATGATGTAGCAATTATCATATTTAGTAACATGCTTAGAACATTGATCTGTAATACTTTTATTGTACAACTTATCAGTTACCAAGAACAAAAGAGATAAATAACCAAGAAAAATATATCATAGAATTATCAGTAACTTTGGTTCAGAGCAATTTTCCTACATATATCAGAATTAGAAATTAACCCATTAATGAATATAGTTCATATAACTTATTCTTCCTACTTATAATGATTTGAATGTATTTATTAATCAGTGGGTACCCTCACTGACAGTTGTATTTTTTGTTGTAATTCTAACAATATGTAATGAATTTCATTCAGCTTAATGGATTGTTTAGTCCTAAATTTATATACTAAGCTAGCATTTCTCAACCCATGATCACAATCAATAATAGGTTTGTCAGAATGTGTAAAATGGTTGCAAACAGATTTTGAAAATAGATAATAGTTTATGTGTTTAATAAATATTTTGTAAGCCACATGTTTTTTGCACTAGAGCTATTTACTAGATCATGAATGGCCATCAGAGTTTATAAATGGATCCTGAGCTAAAAAAGATTGAAAACTGTTGCACTAAGCTAACAATTCAAAATAATCTTTATGATAAAAAATTAAAAATAATAAAAATAAATATTTATATAGTGAACATTTTAAGTGATATTGTTGATGAAATAAACACTGATGAATATTACTTACAAAACAAAATATTGTGATTATACTTGTTAATCAGTGCTTTTGTCAAAATGTATTGACTTTATGCCTTCAGATTATGTAAGTATTTTTCCCCATTTTTTTTACGTGGTTTCTTTTTTATTAGTTGCTAAACACACAGTAACTGTACCAAGTGGTTCAGGGGAAAGCTTTCTAAGGAATCCGGGATATAACATTGCAGCAGCCCTAACATACCTTTCTCAGTTAGTGTCTGTGTTAGCTTTCTACCTTACTCAACAGCTGCCACACTACCAATGTTACAGGTGAGAAAATACCATTTGATTAAATATTTATACTAGGTATTAGAAATTTATTGTAATTTTAAACAATTTTAAAGTTCTTAACCAAATCTCAAAATTCCAAAAAGTCAAATAAATATACTAAGGTGAAAAGCAGATGATATTCAGTGCCAGGCTGTTTATATCTCGCTGAATTATGCCGTCCCTATTTTTGAAGTGACAGGCTAAAGGGAAGGCATCCTGTCAATACCACCCACTGCTAACTCTTGAGTTACTCTTGTCAGACCAAATAGTTGGGTTTGACCATCAATATTATAAAGTACACAATAGCTTGTTTTTCTTACTGATTCTACAAAGCCTGCCCAAAAATCAGCATCCTTGTACTTGTTCTGTTAACTGGGTGCTCCTTCATTCATGAGAGAGCCAGCATCTGGAAACTTTTGGTAAATGGCAACAGGTTTTGTTTTGATTCAATTAGTTTCCCAGAAGACAAAATAATTTCTTTAAATTTTGGATCTACAGGCATGGATAGTACATGGTGTAGACTGATTTTATATTTATTTGGGAAGCAACTGCTTTGGACTTTTCATATAATTTCAGAAACATCAGAAGAGCTGTGAATCAGTTTTCTTAAATTTTATTTGAGTATGTGGATGATTTTAATTACAGTTAACAGTGTTGGATACTTTTCTCCTCATGCTTCAGATGTCTGTTTAAATATGATCATGACTTTGACAGAGCCATTCCCATTCAGCTGATTATGGTGATGTGAAGCATTTAGTTTCAACTCGTGAAACAAGGATGGGTCTGCAATTATCTTCAAGGCATAGTTCTTTATAATACTCTGATTTTCTGTATACATTCATTGCTTAGGCTAATTTGTTTTCTTCCACTGAGTTTCACAGAAAGTGCATTCTTATGACTTCTAGAGTAGTGAATTAATTATGTCTTATCCTATTTGCATATTATTACTCAGCCCTGGAACATTTCTTACTGCATTATTGATTAATAGTTACAATGTGTTTTCAAAAAAGGGAAGAAATTCTATGAATTAGTTTATTTATCTTTTATCAATGCTGCAAAATACTGCTTTCATTATCACTTATACTGAAATACTTAACTCATCAGTGTCAAACCAGTCCAGTACCTGATCCCACTTCATCAATATGTTCTTACTTATATGTACTTTTGTAAAATAAGGTAAGATAATGCAAAAGAGAGAGAAATAAATGAATCGTAAGCTCTTAATGTCCAGTTGTCGCTTGTCATTCCCATAGCAGGAGGACAGTCATTATGTATTATTTGTTGAACAAATTCCAAATTTTTTCAAACATATCAGCGAGGATTAACCCTGAACATTTTTTTTGATAAGAAACATTATAGTGAGGCTCAAGCTCATATAGGAGGAAAAGGAAACTCTTATCTTCAACAGTACCGAAAAGCCGTAGGTTAAGGGTAATCATGCTGGTAATTAAACTTCATTAAACTATGCAAAAATTAAATTAGGAGTAGGGAAGTATGGATGATATCATGATATGTGATGGGTGAGTGTAGATAGGACTATGCACTGCAAAGGAAAAAGTATTTGGGGAATGGATCTGGCATCCCACAGAGCCCCATCTCGCACAGCAGTGTTTGTGTTAAAGTGTTGTTTATGAATTTCGTCATTTGTTTATAGACACTTAGAATACTGGTACTGTCACCCATTTGCGTTTTAATACTTGCCCCTGATACCAAGGTTTTGAAAACATTACTAGGTCTGGTGTCTCTTGCTAGATAAGTTGATTGGTTTATAATTTTTTATCAGACCCTATGGGTAAAAGTGCACTAGTGGTGTTTGGTGGATATAACATGTTGTGGAGTAGGTTTAATCTACTCAAGTTTAACCTTGCAGTCACTGAAATGCCCCGCACAGCTCTCAGATTCATTCAGAACTCTACGTATATAACTTCATATGCGAGTGGTCTAGGCAGGTCACTTAATTGTTTTAATTATTTTGAATACACAGCACTAACTTTACATTTTATAAACCAAGAACATCTTTCATTCATGAAGCACAAGTTTCCCCCTAAGTATAAGAAGGTTAAGGCTGTGAAGAAAGTTTGAAAAGTATTTCTTGAATTAATTAGTGTAATTTATCAAGAATCAAAATTTCCAAACTTTTGTGTTTGTTAGAAAATAAGGTTATAATATTATACACAAGTTTGTCAATGAAAAAAATGTATATATATATAGGAACAGGAAAAAATAGTATTAAAATATTTAAAAAATTAGTTACACTTTGAAATATTGTTTAGTCATGTCATCCAATAATCATAATAAACAAGTGCTTACGTATATTACCAGAATTTTCAAGCATAAAAATTATACCATTATTACAGATCAGACCAAGTTTTGTTGAGTTAATTTCTTGTTATATCTAGTTAGCTAGAAAGACGTTTTTATAAAGGAACAGAAAGAAGGTAATCACACAAATATAGTACAAAATAAAGGCATATTACTGTAATATTATCCAATTAGACAGCTAACACCCAAAAAATTCAAAATTTTATTACTTAATAAATTAAAAAACTGAAATACTTTGTTCATTCTACAGGTATGTTACGTCTGTTGTAAGCTATTGTTTGAGCTTTTACTGGTGATTATATGTTCTTCATGTACTTTTTAATATTAACTTCTGGTCAAAGCAAGATACCTACATAGATCCAAACTACAAAAGTATATCTAGTAATGAGCATAGCTAATTAAATATAATGTTCAAACATTATTATTTATAATATTAGAATACATTGTTTCATCAGTTGGGTACCCTCACTGTTAACAATATTTTCTGTTTAGTTTTGATTAAAAAACGTTGTCATTAGTACATAAAATATTAAATTTATTTCTATAAATTTGATTTTTTTTTTCATTTTGTTGTTTTACCAGTAGAAAATCATGACAGTGTTTGATGTAAATGCGTATCTTGATCTATGATGCTATTACTAATATTGGGTATGATTTTAATCGTGATTGTGATATAAAAATAGGTGTAGACATGGTAATTGTTTTATATTTATACAGCGAGTTTTGCAGTCATGAACTTACAGAGAAACAGTTTGCTCACAAGGTGGCGAAGCTGAATGCCAATGTACTCCATTTATGTTTGTCACAAAATGTTGCTTCAAGTCTACTGAGTCCTCGACAGACAGTGCCCAATCTACTTTTACTTTTAGACAGCAGCATCAGTAGTCTAGGAAGGTAAGCCTTTTTAGATGTTGTCTTTCCAAACTTAGTCTTAAGTCATTTAATAATCATTACTATAGAATATTTGTAAAGATAAAAATATATAAATTTTAATACAATCATACCTAATATCACTGTGCTATATCAAATTAGCAGATCTAATTTCAGTGTTACATAGCATTCCAAAACTTATCACATAAAAATGTGCACTGAAATGGATTTAGTGCCATTATACTCTAACTGTATTGTAAATGGATCTCTTCTACTTGTGTAATTTTGGATAATAAGCATTAATTATTTTAACTCTTTCACTATGGGTAGGTTAAATTGTGCTTGTTACAACTGTTTAGAGTTACATTCAAAATTTAATTAAACTGCTTTATTATCATTGTATACAAACAAACTTGGTATCAAAATATAGTTAATTAATATTATATAAGTTTTAAGTTCTTAATTTTATAAGGAAATAGTTTTAAAAATTGTAAATCTCCCCTAGTATGAGAATTTTGACATTGTTCTCTATGTCTTCCCTCTTCTCTAATGTATTTACCACCCTTCTGAAAAGTATGGAATTTATTATAAATTACTCATTATAATATAGATATTAATAAGGCAAAATATAATTTTTGTAGCCATTAATTGTATTTGTTTATGGAGCCATAAACTAGAAAACCAGACCATTCATATTAGTGACCTCAAAATCTATAAAACTGAAATAAGGTAACTGTACAGAGTTTTCACAATTTATAGTTGAAATTATTTAAATGCTTCAATGAAGTTTAAATGATTCTTTTAAAGATTGTTTAGGCAAAGTATTCATGATGAGTACACTGGAATGAGCGGCAAATGTCTGTTGTAGAAAAAATGCAAGTGTAGAGGACAATGATTCGAAAGTCTCCCATCTTTCGGAAGACTTTCAAATCATCATCCTCTACACTTGCGTTTTTTCTACAACAGGCAGTTGCTGCCCATTCCAGTGTACTTATAAATTTTAAATTACTTTTCATGTAGGTAATTTTTGATAATTTGCTCTTAATTCTAAAGTTGCATACTTGTTTATCATCATCTAGGTGTGGTGCATATGAAATCAGCCCTCAGCTGTTGGTTTTGATGGAAGAGTCCCTTGAAAAGGACCTCCAGCTGATTGAAGAAAATCCTACAGATACAGTGGATGTAGAACTTGCAGGAGATTGGGAAACTGTATCAGAACTCCCTGGGTTTGAAGACATGCCTATTCCATCAAAAGGGAGCCATAGTGTCATGACAGTAGTGTATTCACAGGTTAGGCCATTTTTTTTTCTTTTCAAGCAGAAAGATGATTAGTTTATAAACTCTCAATCTTACAGTGAGCTTTGGTTAAGAATGATAATTTAATCATTAAAAGCAGCATTGACTTTTCCATTTTTGAACTGTGAAATAAATGTATGTTAAAGGTCATATATGCACATTAATGCATTTTTTTAAAGATACTTAAAATGTGTTTTCAAAATTCAATATTGCAGGTTTCAATTAGAATTTTTACTCATAAGAATCCACTAGTGACATAGAAGTTGTTAAGTGTCAAAAAATAAATTTATCACAATTCTTGTATAAATGTAAATTATGTGATAATGAATATTTTTTTGTTACTTTCTTACAGTTATAGATAAAATATGGTGTATTTGCAGTCATTTTAGTTTTGAAAACTTTTATTAAACTTGTTTGCTTCCTTCTATTTTCAAATCTGGACAAACTGCACCAATACTAAAAACAAAAGTATTGAGCAATGATTCCCATTTTGGAGAATTTTCAACAGGTTGTAGAGCAGACAGAAAAGTTCTTTTTTTTTCATATATGTTAAGTAATTTAATTTTTTGTCACTCAGTGTTTTTATATATATATATATATATATATATATATATATATATATATA